ACATTATTTTCCTCCCCTTGATTAATATTTGAAAATATATTTTAGCATCTCCTGCAGTTGACATTTTTTTCCTAGATGTTAGATACACGAGGGAGCATAAGATTTGCTCCTCTAGGGGAAGGAAGATAAAACAAATAATTACAACGGATAGTAGAGAGAAATCTGACTGGGATTTTAAATATGGTGCTTTAGAATTACAGACTAGAAGACAAATTAGCCAACACTATTGGTAATTGAACTTTATTAGTTCTAACTTTGTTTATACCCAATGACTGCTTTCTTCCAAGTTTTGCTGGACCATACCATGAACAGTGGTATAATTAATCTCCTTGACCTGGTAAAGAAATAAATAATTGACAAGATTACCTGTGCTTATTTCCTCTTCTTTTTTTTCACTAAATTAAGAGTTATAATTGCTTCTCATTACCAGACATTCTAATTACTTCATAAAATTACCAACATAGTGATTTGAAAATTGTGCTTTTGAATTTTGATTTTCTGCCAAACATCATTTATATTCATTGTATTAAGTTTACTGACTATAGTACCTCAGCTTTGGATTGTGGTCCTGCTGAAGGAAAACTCTTTCTCACCTGTGTTTCCTTAGTAAGTGCTCCAGATTGTAGCCACAGCTGATTGAAGTATGTCCTCTGGGTGTAAAGCACCAAGAAAGGAGAAGGAAAATCATATTTATTTAGTAAGTTCCAGTTCTTGAACAATGAGTTCAATTCCTGAGTTATTTATAATATCATGTTAATAATTTCAAGAATGGTAGGAGGTTAGTATGATTCTTACTTTGTAGTGAAGAAAACTGACTGACAGGGTGTTACAGGTAGAGTTATATTCAAATCCAAGACTGACTCAGAAGTCCATTGCCTTAAAGCCAGTCTTTCCCTATATAAGAGAAGAAGTGACTAGAAAGAAAAGACAAGATCAAAGAATCTTAATTAAGTTTATGGAGTATACTTTAGAATTTTTTTTTCTTTTCAGCAAAGCATTAAATTAATCTTCAATCCAGTTTCTACTAGGAACCCAACAGAAATGTGGCCATGACAGCTAGCTTCAACAAGATTCTCAACAGCCTGGAGGTACTCATCTATGATTTAAAGGTATCATCTTTACTCATGTTGAAATTTAATTGTTATTATTAATGATGTTGAGAGGTGGGTCCTTTAAGAGGTGCTCAGGTCATGAAGGCTCCACCCTCATGAATAGATTCTGCTTTTATCTCAGAAGGGGTTGGTTTTAATAGGAGTGGGTTCCTAATAAAAGCATAAGCAGAGCTAACTTTCTGTTTCGTGTGCTCTCTTTTTCTTCCACCATGTTATGATGGATCAGGAAGTCCCTTGCCAGATGCCAGCACCAGGCTCTTGGACTTCTGGTCTCCAGAACCGTGAGAAAGACAAAATTACTTTCTTTATAAATTTTTTAGTCTCTGACTCTATTGTAGTGACAGAAAACTGACTTACTCTTGCTTACTTTATCACCTCAACACCAAATGCTGCACCAATGAATTTCCCCGACTCTCTGATAGTAGATCAGGATATGATATTGAGATTGGAGGCAGGTAGTAGGTACAATCTAATTGAATCTTACCTCTATTGGCTCTCAAATTATCTTAGATACCACTAATAAGAAGATAGACTCCAACATGACAACTCTTCGCTCTGTTGTCAAAGAGATGAGAGCAATACTTTATATCTACAAGGCATTATCCTCTAGGAGTCATACAATTAATTTGGGGGTTATAAACATTCTTTAAAACATAATGGAATAAAATACAAATATTTTTTAGAAGAAGAACATATTATAAGGTATCACAATTGTTTAACCCAATATAATCACAAAGTATTATATTGTGATACTTCTTGTGTCTTATAAACATGAGTAATTCTGTAAAACTAAATGACTGATGCAGAAGATATAGGGGAAAAAAGTTTCTGGGAGCAAAAATGTGTCTTCAGTGACTTCTTTTTTTTTTCCAGTGCTGTGAATTGAACTCAGGGTGCTCTACTGAGCTACATCTAGAGCCATTTTTGCTTTAATTTTAATTGCACTTATTTATTTAATTTTATTATTATTATTTATGGTGCTGGGGATTGAACCCAGGGCTTCCCACATACTAGGCAAGCACTCTATTATGGAGTTATGTCCTCAGCCCTTTTTTGGTTTTGGTTGAGACAGGGTGTCATTAAGTTACTGAGGCTGATGTGGAACATGTGGACCTCCTGTCTCAGCTTCCCCAGTTGCTGGTATAGCAAGTTTGCACCACAATATTCAGCTTTTCTTCAGTGATTTAGCTCCATTGATAAAGCCTGTGACTATATCATGAGTTGCTTGCTTGTAGAATTTAACTGCTGAGAATTTCCAGTAAAGATTAAAGAAAAATAATGAAGCACATTTCAATCTAATGTCATCACTCTCTGAAAGTTTTCTCAATAGAGATCTACCGTAAAGTGTTATACAACCTGGACTTTTCCAGGCAGGAGTGCCTGCTTCTGATGCTCTTGCTGATAAGAGCTGCAGCTTGGCAACATTCTCAACAGAGTTAAAATATTGACATGGCACCAGCATTGACTGACTTAGCAAATTTGTTTTGGTTCTTTGTTCAGTTGGTTCACACCTACTAAGCATTATATCCAACCAAAAATATTGCTTTTAGTAGGTATAAAAGAAAAATAAAGAAAAAAATCATAACTTACCACTGTATCCCATTTCCCAGTGTGTTAATTTTTCAAAATATCAACAGAAGTACTCATATTTCAACATTCTTTGCTGATTTTTACCAAAATGTTTTTGCTAGATGTCTAATTCAGTCTACCAGACTGTCTATGGTAGCATAAAATAACAATACAAATGACAATTATAAGTATTAATAATTACTAACATTAAATAAAAAAATACTTATACATTTTTGTATGTAATATGGTATTGAAATTGTGCATGCATGTGTGTTTATAACATGTTACAGTAACCCAAGAAATACATACCTAACATGTACCTATTTCATAGATTTGAAAATCAATTTATGTGCCACATTAAGAAGTTTGGACCTTATAGCATGAGCAAAAGAGAAATGAATCTGTCAATAGGCACCGGGGCTGGTATTGTAGTTTGGCTATTGTGAATTTGCCATGATTAACATGGATATGCAGGTATTTCTACAGTATGCCAACTTTAATTCCTTTGAATAGATAGGAAGGAGTGGGATAGCTGGATCATACAGCAGTTTTATTTTTAGTTTTTTGAATAACTTCCATACTTTATAGTGCTATACTAATTTATATTTCCACAAATAGCATATGAAGTTTCCTTTTGCCTGGAATCCTCCCCAGCATTAAAATATGTGTGTGTGTGTGTGTGTGTGTGTGTGTGTGTGTGTTCTTGTAGATAACCATTCTGTTGGGATGAAATGGAATCTCAGTGTAGTTTTGATTTGCATTTCCCTGATGGATAAAGATGTTGAAGCTTTTTTCTTGTAATTATTAGCTATTCACACTTCTTTTGAGAAGTGCATGCTTGGTTCATTTGCCCATTTATTGTGTGTGTGTGTGTGTGTGTGTATGTGTGTGTGTGATGAGTTCTTCATATATTCTGGATATTAATGCTTTGATGGAAAAGGTTTTGTTCCATTCTGTAGGCTATTTCTTCACTCTGTTAATTGCTTCCTTTGCTATGCAGAAACTTTTCAATTTGATGTAGAACTATTTGTCAATTATTGCTATTATTTCCTGAGCCATTGAAGTCCTATCTAGGAATCTGTTGCCTGTGCCTGTGTCCTGAAGTTTTCCCCTTGCTTTTTCTTGTAGCACTTTTAAAGTTTCAGGTATTCCATTTAAGCCTTTGATCCATTTTGAGTTGAGCTTTGTACAGGGTGAGAGCTAGGGATCTAGTTTCAATCTTCTACATATATATATCCCGTTTCCCCAGCACCATTTGTTAAAGAGGCTCTCTTTTCTTCAATGTATATTTTTGACATCTTTGTCAAAGATCAGATGGATGTAGCTGCATTGGCTGGTCTTGGTGTCTTCTACTTTATTGCTTTGATCTTTTGTTTCTGTTTTTATGCCTGTACCATACTGTTTTTACTACTGTGGACCTGTAGTATATTTTGAGATCTGATATTGTGATGCCTTCAGCATTGTCCTTTTTTCAAGTTTGTTTTGGCTATTTGGGGTCTTTTTGGCTTCCATGTGAATTTTAGAATTATTTTTTCTTTCTGTGAAGATTTTTTTTTTTGGTATTTTGTTGGGAATTGCATTGACTCTGTTGATTGCTTTTGGAAATATGACAATTTTAGCAATATACTTCTGCAGATCCATGAACATAGAAGGCTTTCCATCTTTTAAGGTTTTCTCTAATATCTTTCTTCAGTGTTCTATAATTTTCATGGAAAGGTCTTTCATCTCATTGGTTAAATTTATCCCTAGGTGTTCTTTTCAAGTAATTATGAGTGAAATTGTTTTCCTCACTTCTTTCTCTACAGGTTCATTATTGGTGCATAGAAGAGCTATTGATTTTCATATATTGACTTTGGATCCTGCTATTTTGATGAATTTGTTTATCAGCTCTAGAAGTCTTGTGTGGAACCTTTAAGGTTATGTACATATAGAATCTTATCTTCTGCAAATAGGGATAATTTGACTTCTACTTTTCCTATTTGTTTATGTTTTACTTTTTCTCTTGCTTAATTGACCTGGTTAAAATTTCAAGTACTATACTGAACAGGAATGGTGAGAGTGAACATCCTTGTCTTTATAATCAGTTCTTGATCAAATAATACAATATAACATAATTAAGGGAAAACAATCGCTGTCTTGCTATTAACGGTTTCTCAAAAGTATCCTCAAAACTTATGCACTAGGAGGTAGCCATATTTTGTAGAAGTTTAAGAACTTAATCTACTCACCTTGCTTGTCCAAAGTACATGTATGAAGACACACAAAATATAAAAAATTTAAAAAAGAAAGATAATTTGGTCTGGTTTTAAGCAAGTCTCTTCCATTATTAAAGTTAATTATTTCAGTTAAGTACTGGAAGATACTGGAATTTCAAAAGCAGCAAATTTATTTCTTAACTTGCATTTATCATGTAAGAGGAATCAAATTGCTCATGAATTACTAGGCTGACAGCCATTGACATTTCCTGTGGGACACTTTCACAGTTGGGGCAAGAGAAGGCTGAATACCAGGTGCAGTTTCAACATGTGTTTTGGGATACATTCCTGAATGTCTGAGATTTGCATTGAATTTATGGGAACAATGCCATGGATCTGAGAGGGGGGAGGAATCCATCTCCTAGAGCAAGACTGTGGAATCGGATCATCGTGCCAAGTGTCTGCTGTGCTCAACCTTTAGCTACAGCTTGTTTCTCACATGGATTGACTCAGGAAATACTGCTTCATGGGCTGTAGCTATTTGTCAGGCTTATGACTCAACAAACTGAAATATTGGACAAATGTAATTTTGTTTCACAACTTAGGCTGCTCACACATAGCACATGCGACTGTGAATATGATCATCAGCAGCCTCAGATGCACCAGTCTTCAGTCCACTCAGAGGAGCAGAGATGAAGGAAGAAGAGAGACAACCTGACCTTGGCTGCAAAGGGCAACAGGATACCAACAGATGCAAGGTCATGTGGTTTTCCTCCTATTGAAAATCAGGCCCTTGACAAATTTATGCAAATACAACATGTCTTGAAGGGGACTTCTTTGTGCCAAATGTTTTCAGTTTTCTTTGGCCTAGGCTATGGTTGATATTAACTTATTTTAAAGTCTGCCTTCCAATTTTTTTCTGCAAGCTGGGGCCAAGGGGCATCTATTTCACAAAAGGCCAAGGTTTGGGATGGAAGGCTGTGAGTGAGTCCCAGAGCAGGGTTAGAAGGAGAGGTAGACAGTTTCACCGACCTCACCAGCCTTCCTCCCCATGCCTCCCATCTCAGAGTGGCTAGGGTTCACTGAAGGAATAGTGTTTATCTATCCTGGGAACAGAGGAGCCTGGCACTTCACTTTATCCAAGCTTGTAGTTGAAAATATTCTTTTGACTAACAGGATATAAACACCAACTCCCTAAAGGAAAACAGTGACGATTTCTTTAAGAGAAAAGAAAACCCTCGAAAAAGTAAGTATTTTAAATTGGAGAGTCATCATTCCCAGGGCCAGGCTGAATTTTAGCCCTCTCATGCTCAAGCCAGTTCACAGGACTCACAAGAGCTTATTTTTAAGTTATCAGGAACTTTGTTAGCTGATTTACTATTGGTATCAGGAATTTGTCCCAAGTGAGAGTGTTTAAACCACAGAAATCAGTAAGTGGTACAAATCTGGGTCATTTCTTTCTTTTTTTTCTTTTTGAGAGTTAATCTGACAGCACACTATAGCTTAAAGCTCTGAGGAACATGGTCTACATGAACATGATTCTCCGGTGTCTCTGTTTTCTATCCCCATGGTCCTCTACTGGGATCCCCTGTACATGTTTCCCCTTAGCTGATTTTCTCTTTCATTTATTGTTTATTTTCCTGATTTCACCATTAAGGCAATTGTCACACACTATATAGATTCTTAGGAGTTTGTTCTCACTAGACAGATCAGTGAGTACTACTTTTAAGCCTAAGTAAAGTTTCTAGGAATGAAATACTATAAGATGAGGGATTTTTTTTCTCTCCAGGATCATAAATCTGGGCATCCTATGATATATGTACTAGGGTTGGGGAGGTATTCTTTTGTTCCCCAAATTACTATTAAGAGACAACAAATAGGATTTCTCGGTGACTGACTCTGCCAATCAGCTCCAACCCTCTAACTCACTGTTTTTTTCCTAAGCAGAAACTGAAGCCTGTATGCCACAGCATACAGTAAAGTGTGCATTTTTTCAGAGGGCTTAAATATTCCTGAGAGAATGGGAAAAGGTTTTAGAACTGAATGGAAGGAGACAACATTGCGCCCATAATCTGTGCACATTTTCAGCAAACCCCACATATCCTAGGACCAGGATAATCAGAGGTCGGTCGTTCATGGTTTTAATCATGGGGTTAGAAATAATTAGACAATGTGTATTTTATGGTAGGATGGTAGGAACTGTTCCAGAGGTCGAGGCTACAAATTCCTAGAGCCTTTTTTTTTTTTTAATTGAGACTATGTCAACTTGGCAACTCTGTTCCAGAAAAATTCTTACATAGAAATAAAACTGTAGTTCAAAGGAAAACTTTACTGCTTGCTGCAGGAAATTCTTGTGTCGGAGACCAGCTCCAACAGGGGGTCTCAGGAGACGGATGGTGAAAGAGCGGGTGGAGAAACAACACAGACACCAAAGTGAAGGTGTTGATCCCAATCTTTACTTGTGAAGTTGATCATATATACTTTTCATTTTGGCAGGCTTACAGTACTTTGTGGTTACAAAACAGGAATCATTATTCAAAGAAACAAAATATTACATAGTTACAATTAGAATAGAAGAATGTATCTTGGCTTATGCATAAGCAAGCATTTGTACTTTCAGTTCCCGTTTTGCTTTGAGCTGTTTCTGCTTAGTTAACTTTTAATAATAGTTACAAATGTCCCAAACTATTGGCCTATACCTTGACTATTCTTTCTTGACTTACTGACTGGAACCGGTGCCATGGTTACAGCAAGTGGTTGACTTGTTATTACTTTTAATCAAACAAAAGTAAGAGCACAAACCATTGTGCACAGGAACAAGAACAAGTTGCCCAGTACTAAGCACTAATCTGTCTTCTTCACATTAATTTTTCTTCTTTAGATTTTAATTTAATTTCTCAAAAACTTCCTTGACAGGAATACAGGGAGTTTTTTATGAGACATTAACAATTTACACTCCACAGCTGAATCATTGCATTTAGAGCAAACAGATCTATGCTTTAGAAGTAGTTGCATTAATTGGGAAAGTCATGATTTTTCCTTCATACTTAATGGTCATATGAGAAATTGCAACTATACTTATTAAAGGAATACAAAAACAAATCAGCCCATTCCCAGAAACATACTGCGCTCCTCCAGAGGATGGACGCCTTGCGCCATCCACCTCAGTAGGGCCTTGCCATTGCCTGAGTCAGGGGAGGGCCGCAGCATTCTTGCACATCACTTTATTCAGGCCATCAAATTTCTCATCTGGCCTAGTACCTCACTTCTCAGACAGAAGTTTGATTACCAGGGTCCCTGTCAAGACCCTCACTTCTCCTATCCACCAATCCTAAACTGTTGTGCCAGCAACTTCTCCTGATTCCAATTAGTTCCCTGCCTTGACAGAATGATTTTAAACCTTTTGAGCTGAGATCGCCTAATGTCCTCTGAGACATTAAGACTGTCAATGTACCTTTTTTGTTGAGTAAATCAAATAATCTTAGCTTTTCCTTATCAGAAGATTTTTTGTTGTTGTTGATATTTCTGAATTAGCAGTTGACATATTCCACTGGAGATTAGACTGTAAGAACAAATAAGTTAGTATCTGTAATGAACTATTTGGAGATAGTCAAGATCTTTATGTTTTATACCATGCAGTAACACATCTGCCCTGGGAGTGTCTGGCTGTGCGTTGTTGTACAGACTCGGTGCTATGGTTTGAATATAGTTTGAATGTGTTGCTCCAATTGTTCATGTGTTGGAGATTAAGTTTCTTAGTCTCCCAGGTGGTAGTATTGGGAGGTGGTATGATCTTAAAGAGGTGGGGCCTAGTGGGAGGTATTTAGGTCATTGTGGGCAGGCCCTTGGAAAAGGGGTTAACAGTTCTAATGGAACCTCAGACTCTTGTTTTGCCTTGTGCTATCTCTCTCTTGCACACACTGCCATCATGATGCCGTCCTCTGTTAGGTAGTACAGTCAGCAGGGCCTTCGTCAAAGGCAGTGCAATGCTGTTTGGAGTTTCAGTCTCCAAAACTGTGAGCTAATAGGTTTCTTTTCTTTATAAAGTATTCATCCTCAGGTATTCCACTATAGCAAGAGAACATAGATTAATACCCTTGGCAAACACACATTTTATCTTCTATAACACTCTGATTTTAAAACATTTTTACTCTCCAGTGTATGCCCAGGTCTGGATGTTCCTAGTGGTTTGTCTGCTCTGGTTCTTGAAGCTTCAGCTTCACAGTGCTCTAGATAAGCCAGAAGCCTGAAGCAAGGGACATGAGTCAGATAACCTGGGTGAAGACCTGTTTTGAGAAGTAGTGAAGAGGGCAGAAAAACAGAAGTGATTTCCTCTTGTGACTTTAAATCTTGCCTCAGGCTTTTATGTTGAAATGTTCTAGGCCAAAGTCATAATTCATGGACCCAGCACACTCTCTCTTTCTCAAAAGAACTTCTTGTTGGCCATATGCCCTGGATACTATGCAAAAGGCTGTGTGGGAGGGAGTAGAGAATGGATAAAGAGTCTAAAGAAGAAATCCACTTGCCCTGTTCTATCTTGACTAGCTATATGACCTTAGGTGAGCCAGTTAGCATTTCCTTTACCAATGAAAGATGATTATGAAAAATCCAAATTGTTTTGTAAATGTGGGAAATTATTAATATTCACATTAACGTCTAGGTTTGTGGGTCTTTAGGCTACAGAGGAGGTCATGATAAAGAATAGTTGCTGGGCAAAGCTGTTAAGAAACTGACAATTAAAATCTATATGGAGGATCTGTTTTGTGGGCCAGGCAGTATCCTGACTTTTCTATGCATGAATTAATTTGATTCTTACACTAAATTCACAAAGGATTATTAGGTCTTTATAGATGGAGCAACCAGGATTCCAAGAGGCTATCCTGAATCACAGGCAGCAAGTAGATGGGCTGGGGTCCTAACTTGGAGGATTTTGATATACGCCTATTCTCTTTCAACTGGTCAGTCTGCTGCCCTTGCCCACTACAAGATCACAGTGTTTATTGAAATACCATTTCCCTGAAACAAGGAATTGAAGACATTTTCCCCCAAGGGGGGTTTAGTGGAGGCATTCTGAAAGAATTATGTTAGCTGCAGGACAGGCTGGATAAATGTTAGCTGCAGGGTAAAACTGAGTGCCCAACCTCCACCCTTCATTAGCCCTTCCTTCTGGAGACAATTATTTGGCTCCTTTCCCTTTACTTCCTCTTGTTGGTTTTCGATTTGAAACTCGTGCCTAGCCCATGCCCAATCTACTTGAAGGCAGAGATGACACCCTTAGCAACTATTGTGTGACCCAATCCCTGTACGCCAACAAGGCAGCTTGCAGACCCACAGACCCTATTAGACTTAAGCAGCACAGCAAAGGGCTATAAAAACCTTCTCCTGCCAGGCCCTCTCTTTCTCTCCTCTTTTCCTCCGGTAGATCAGACACCACTGCAATAAAGATCTCTTGGTGGCTCCGAGTGTTGTGGTCACTTTCCTTTCAAATTGTTCTTCAAATATTTGTATTTTGAAAAAAGCCACTTTTTAGTTATCCCAGTTATTTTCATATACGAGTGACTACACTAACATTAACAGATTTGAGATTGCATTTATAATAACACTTTAAATAGATGTAAGTCTAGCAAAAATCATGATTATTTTATGTGAAATATATAATTGAATTTTGGTGGCACCTTAATAATCATTAGTATTATTAATTTAGCATATTTTATTAATAAATACTGGGCTAGATGATTTATTAAAGTGTATCCTAAGT